CAAGGAAGTTCATAAAGCGAGTGAGTAAGCCGGGCCGAATATAAAAAGCGTGATGGACGTTAAAATATATCGTCCGTAACTTGAAGAGGGGCAGATAGATTTATAAGGGGGCGTCGGAGCTCATTGCGGCGAGCTGGTATACGACCGAATTTATATCTCCGCGTAAAACGTTAATGGCCTGATAACAATTCGCCGTTCGCAGAACGTATTCATTCGTTTATTGTTGTTATTACAACACGTATGTGCTATCCGAATGTTGGTTTGAACAATTGTACACATATACGACACAGAGTTATTCTCGTGTGTGTATAACAGAAAGCAGAAGTTTAGTTATCTTTATATTATCCACGAGGTATACGCAAACTACTACAACAAGACCAATGAAATTCTCAATTTTAAGATCATCTTGTGTGTTGTATTAACTGATGTTTTTGCTTTCAGTCCCGAGACTATTAAAGCTTCATCGGACGCAGAACCGGTGGGCTAGCCAGAACCCACGGGTTTGGAGTTTTAAGATCTGAATTATCACTCAGTGATGAAAAAAAATCACGTAAGGAAACTTGCATGTTTTAGAAATAAAACACATTTCGAAGATATGCGAAGCCTCCAAACCGCGATGGGATCGCGTCGTATACTAAACTATACCCTAATACCCTGTGTACAAAGGACGCCTATGACCAGCCGTGGGACTTGTATAGGCTGTTACTTTACTTACTTTTTATAGGGTGAATATATTTGTTATTTCACATGTGCATATAAGCACATGTGTGCGAAGTTGAAAGATGCAGGAACCTCAGAATCATGCTTCTTGGGTTCTTGGGTTCTTGGGTTCATGTCTTCAGTCTATGGGTGCCTGATGTTCGGCAGACTAAAACAGGCTGAAATGATGTTGATGATTATACATGCAAGCTTATTTGAATTTAATCATTTAACCATGCGTACTGTCTATGAAGAAGAGAGCATGATTAAAATGTTAGATACAATAAATTTTGTTTGTTTAAACCAGTGATTCTCAACCTTTTTTTTTTGTTGCGGCACATATTAAACGATTTCAAAATTTGGCGGCACACAAAGAAAATTATTTACTTACTACAACACACTGCATAAATAGTTTATGATAAAAATTTTAAATATACGAAATTAACTAATATATATTACAATAATAACTAAACGTTTATTAAGGGATTAATTACAAGCTAATAATAAAAATATTTTAATGCGAAATTTGAGCTTGATGTTTTTTGATAATTTCATTTATATTTGGTCGTAAAAATGACAATGCTACTCTCATATCGTCTTCTACATTTAACAATCTTGATCTTTTTTTAGTTTTAATGTTAGCTAATGCCAAACAATAGTTTTAAATTATATAATTTAATAATATTAACATTATTATATATTTGCAAAATTTGGCGGCACACTTTTGAAATTTGGCGGCACACAAAAGTGCCGCGGCACAGTGGTTGAGAATCACTGGTTTAAACCTTAGATATATGATCAAATTGTTTAATTAAAGGCAGGTGAAGGTATGAGAACAGTTTAAACAGGTTGGTAATGACTGTGTCTCTAATCCTCCATCTGTTATGAAATACATACTTCGACTGTCGTAAATTGCCCACCTGTCATAAATCCAGGTGCGTGGCCAAAATTTATGTGGATGGTCGCTGACAGGAATGGCCCACTCCTGACGTTTGTTGTAAGTAATGGAATCCCGGTGTTTTTTACATTCTTTATTGGGTTAATCTGTTATATCTGTATTTATATGCAGGCATCCGAAAAGTAGGTAACTTTTGACGTATATTCCTGACTAATAACAATAGAATAATTAAAAAAAATATCACTAATTAAGTTTATTAATTACATATTAATTATTAAGATTCTAGCGGAGTCTCTTTACAATTAGAGATAATTCATGAAATTTTGCGAACTTCATAGCGCATATAAATTAAATATATAATATTACGATATACTATAATTTATGCGTTACAATAAACGTACGTAATTTTGTACGATACGTGAGATTCACATCAATATCAGCTCAAAAGTCGAAGGATAATGCACCCGAGAAACCTTACAGACATTTGCTAATATGTTTTGCCTACAGCTTTTAAGGTGTCACATTCTGCGCTCTGGAATTTATAAGTGAGTTTCAAAAGTGTTGTTTCGGTACATGCTCAAGTTGTGAGGCTTCACTCATGTTTATTAAAATTGTAAAAGGCTCTTCCCGTCTGTAGTTTTTACGGGCCGCCGGTTTTCGTTGGATATATTTAGCGTTCAGATGAGACCGAGATTTTAGGAATATAACAACGGGCGAGCGGAAAGTTGCGGCATAACTAGCATTATAGTGAAAATTGAGGGACGCAAATGAGACGGAGTTTACGAAGCTCGCTGAGAGACTTGTGGAGACTGCGCTAAGGAACTTGCCAAGCGAGCCATCGCTGCATTTTTTCTATTTGAACTTTTACTGTGGCAGGGCCGGCAACAGCTTATGCTGTTGCACGAGTGGGCAGGCTCGTACGGGGACGCGCCACGACCTCACAGAAAACCGGCGTGAAGTGGAAGTGTTATACTTCGCCATTTTGTCCGGTGAGGAAGGTAGCCGGAGTCCTCTTTGTTAAAAGTTGACAATGTATCTGTAACCATACAGGTGTAAATGCCCATGGGTGGCGGTTATCACTTAACATCCGGTGAACCGCCAGCCCATTTGCCATCTTCTTACATAAAAAAATGTAACACTGCGATTCATTAATAACTTATTTATCAAATTTAAACAAAAAAGTGACATCTATAACAAAAGAAACAAAATTAGAAAGGTCCAAGTGGGGATCATTGTTATTTCGCATGAAACATCGCTGAAATTTCAGCTCTCTGCGTACGAACAAGCCTCGTGTACAGATGCTGCTGAAAATTTAATAAAACGCCGCTGGAGAGAAACGTGGTGCCGGCCGATTTAAATGCCTGTTAATATAACTCGTTATACACGTTTCTTTTCATATAATGTCCCCTGTGTACTTTATGAATGCATTTAAACTCCCCTCGTATTTCGACTGTCCATTGGCGGTGAACTCACCACCACGGCTTCTCTCGTGTATTAGGGCCATGCAGCTACATCTGACGGTTAGATGAGTAGACAGGCTCCGGAGGAGTACCACGGTCTAACAGAAACTCAGTCAACGCCCATCGATCTCATGGTCCTCACCGGACCTCGATGGCCCTTAGATGACATTCCATAATTAAACGCACGCATGAGCACATGCGTGGCCCTACCCATTGAGGAGGGCCCAAACCCGTGGGATCTGGCTAGCGCACCGGTTCGATGAAGCTTTAATAGTCTTGGGACTGAAAGCGCAAACATCAGTGAATACAAGACAAGACAACACGGTTTCACAGAAAACAGAAGTATTATACTTTCGTGTTGAGTAAATCCTTTTTTAAAGATTGATAATGCATCTGTAATTATTTAGCATAACGTGATCCGCATCGTTTATTCGTCAACTTTTCACATGAAAAAAGACATTTGCTCTTATACAAATCGACCGGAGAAATCCGATATCGGAATACCTGCATGAAGTTATACCCTTATAATTTGTCGGGTAAGGGTGTTTGGCATTTCCCTTTCCATCAGCAGTGGTACTACAAGTACGTACTAGCGGTACTAGCTAATCTAGAAGCGATGTACAGGGTACAAGAGAAGGGTACTACAGGTACAATCAACACGTACCACCACTTCATTCTGATTGTTCACCAGAAGCTGCAGAGAAGGAGCTTTCGTGGCTAAAACCAAACACTTAAAATTTCCTCTAATTCCAAAAGTTTAGTGGTCGTATAAAGGATGAATGCGATTCTCTTAAGAATAATAACTATTAAAATATATTGTGACATACCAAATGTCTCGGTGGAAAGTACGGAAGAGCTAAGGTTAGCTGTGTGGTTAGAAGTGAGCTAAATCCTATTGAAAGCCACCAAGTTTCAGCATTCTGAATTGTGAAGGGCAAAAAGTTTATCTTATAGGTAATTAAGTGAATATATATTGAAGGGAAATATTCTTATCTTTCCGCGCAATTCAGTGGAATTGCGCAGAAAGATGAACATTTTAAGTATTTACTTATAACTTAACACTAAGTATTTACTTATAACTTAACACTTTAAGTATTTACTTATAACACTCGAAATAAGTCGATTGTCTCTTTCCATAGTCGACGTACAATGTTCATCACCGTGTACTATCATTAGCTAGATATGAATAGATAGCACTCTCAATATGCGTATGACGCGACATTTGTCTATCTCAGCACGTGTTTATACCCCTACACAGTTAGTACCCATACACATTTAAATTCATCGCAATGAGTTTTAGAAAACTGAAGTTCAGACGGTGTGTAGTTCATAATTTGAAGAGGGTTGACAATTTTCGGAGCGGCGTGGTCCATCGTATCGATCCGTGCGCTGAACGATTTATGTGACAACCCTGGACATTAATGGCGCGACGGATATTATATGACAGAAACACGCTTTATGTTTTCGGAGAACTTCTGGACATGTTCAATAATGTTACTAGTGGCCTCCTATTCCATTTACTTCGTTTAGTAAAGATTTTAAGTAGTTTTTGTACAATTATTGATAAAGATTATCACGGATTCCTATTTAATGAATATTCTAAAACTAGACAGCCGTGTTGGCTCAGTATCCGGGCGCTCGCCTTTAATACATACTTTAATATTATAAATGCGAAGGTAACTCTGTCTGTCTGTCTCGCTTTCACGCCAAAACCACTGAATCGATTTAAATGAAATAAGTTACACGCTATTTTTAATGGGAATTTTTTTTTTAAAGAAAGATATTTATTATTCGGTAATTCAAGGGATTTTTCAAAGAAACTCAAAATTCGGGACTTCTAAAAAATGTGTATTGCCTCAATGACGGACAAAGGTGAACAGGGAATAGGGATGACATGCAATGTAATAAATAAGACCTTACAGCTAATTAAAACTAATTACGCTATGCGTTTATTTGCTCATCGTCGACGAGCAGGCGTTGCGCTGGAACATGTTCCCAGACGTTGGAAGCAGCAGGTGCGCTTTCAACCAGACGCAGAATCTACGGGTAGTGGGCAAATCCTGTTGAAAGCTCTTCTTATCACTCCAGCGGATATCTTGATGTCTGCCACACGAACAATTCCATCCGACCGAAGCCGCGGGCGAAAAGCTAGTACAATATATTCGAGCACCCTGAGTTCGATACCCATTTGAGAGCCTGCCCATTCGAGGCTGCTGCGTGGCCCCACCACCGTATTGCACCAACTTAAAAAAAAATATTTTACAATGTTATTTTTTTCCGGCCACAGGAGCTCGCCGCGGCGACGCCCACGCAGCGCAACTGGCGCGGCATCCTCATCGCGCTGCTGGTCATCGCCGCCGTTCTGGGGCTGATCGTGTTCAGCATCGCTCTGCTCACGCCCGCCGGCGACGGGGGCAGGGTGAGGGGGCGGCGGCCGACCCTCGGCGAGGTGCTGGCGGAGCACTACAGGCCGTTCAACGGGACCTGGCTGTCGGGTGAGTGGGAGAGTCGTTCGAAAAGGCGCCTTTGCGGGGAAAGATTAAAGCTCTGAATCCAATGGGCTTTGGCAGAGCTACTGTCCTTTGTAATGTAGCAACCCGCCCCGGCTTCGCACGGGTGCAATGCATTAGACATATAAACCTTCGTCATGAATCACTCTATGTAGTAAAAAAAACCGCACAGAGATCCGTTGCGTAGCTTTAAAGATCTAAGCATTTATGCATCTAAGCTTTCGTACTATCTAGTGAAGACAAGTCCATTTCTTTACTAACGAAAAACGAAACCGACTTCAAATATCTCGCTCTGTATTCATTTCTACAATTTATTTTCAGGAGTTCCCTAAGTATCTTTGGAACCCAAGATCCATAATAAGGGACCACATGGAAAGAACCAGCTTTCAAATAAAAAAAAAGTTCTGAGTTAGGAAAACATAAAAAAAAACAAAGTCGAAATGAGAGCCTCCTCCTTTTTTGAAATCCGTTGTAAAAGCACTTCTCTCTTTTTAGGCTTGTCGAGGCAGTGTTTACATTGTATATCGCAATACCTATTGATACTGGTATATTGAACCTGGTATAATATGCAACGTGTCGTTACCACCGCGACAATAAATGAACACACATATAGAGGATAACTTTTTAAAATTGTATTAAATATTTACATTTACTTTAAACATCAATATTTACCGAGTTATTAAATTTTCCAAAACAAACAATTTTAGAACACCCTTACGTATAAAACTGTAACGTAAAGTTCATTTGTAAAGGTCACAAAGCATATGAATGGGTTGAATGAATTTAAAAGGGACAAAACATACTGTTAGAAGGAGAGGCTTGTAATGCGACGCTGTGGCGCGATTTGCATAGGTGTTACAAATGTTGTTTCTTTTTTACTTAATTAGTTTGTTTAAAAAATATTTTTTTTAATTATGGATTTTGTTTAACGTTAATATTTTTTTATGATTATTGGCAAGTAGCGTTAGACGTGTGTTCATTTATTGTCGCGATGGTAACGATACACGCTGTATAGATAATAGTAAATAGAAATAATAGTAATAAAATAATGGTACGCATTTTCATAACTAGGTTTATACCTATTATGTTTGAACTACAGTACTGTGTTTAAAAATAAATATAATAAAATAAGTCTTTTGCTGTCAAGACGTTAATCGAGTAGTCGTAACATGTTAATTATGAATTATTAGTATGTATCGATTTTTAATTATGAATACTAACAAATACTACTACTATTAACAAATACTATTTATGAATACTAACAAAACATAAACGACATGTGTATGTCATTTTTGAAATTCATGAAAATCTTTTAATTTAATTACCTAAGAATGAGACGGTTTTATTACTCCTAGGACTTTTGTGTGTTTTTGAGCAATAAATCCAAAAACGTTAACCGAAATTAAATACAAAGATCTTGGAGCATTTTACGAGCAATAAAGAGTTAAGAAAACTAACATTTTATGCATCACCACTAAGGATTATAGAAAAACTAAGAACAATAGTTTTATTTGTAGTACTTAATTACCTAATGGACGTTAAAACATTGTTTTAACTAAACAAATGGGGTCTGATCCATCGGGACCACCCATTGAGAGTTTAATTTTGTAGAGTAACAAATTTCTTTAGTCTATGATCCGACTGCGTTATTAGTATATTATATATATATGTTTATATATTATGTATATTTACTCAAGTAAATAAGTTTTTTTAAAGTAAAATTTAAAAAAACTTTCTATATCATATTATAAGTCTATTGCCTTGCTAATTCTTACTCAACAGTTAGCTGACCCCATTTGTGGCTAGTTTAAAATAAGCCTTGTGCCATTGTGTAGATGTCAGCTTTCATTTGGTATACAAGTTATCAAGATACCTTATGAATATTAACATTCAAAGAAGTATTAACCGTTTACACCTATTGCCAACCAAGCCAAGAGGTCGAAACGAAATTGTTTAGAAAAAAATGTAATAATAACATTTTAATTGAATCACTCGCGGCCATATTTTTATGATGGTCGTATCGTATCGATTATTATCGTCAGAAACGGATACCTTATTAATGACTATATCTTAAAACTTCATTTGGATTGAAAAAACCGGCCAAGTGCGAGTCGGGCTAAAATCACGACTTATGAGCTACAGCCCGGTGACAGACAAACAGCCGAGTCTTAATAATAGAGTCCCGTTTTACCATTTGGGTACGGAACCCTAAAACAGACTTAGAAATCGACAGTCGGATCTCGTACTATTTTTCTTACGCAAACGTCAGAACAATCAAACTTCCGCCAAGAAAACATTGCTACGTAAAAACTCACGGGCGGGCGGCTAGACTAAACATCTCCCGTTTATTCTGTCACTGTTTACACGGTTAATGGATGCGATTTTCGCGTCCCGGTAAATGAAATGAAAAATATGTGGAAAGACGCTCGCAACGTCGCGCCGTTATTCGATTAACGCGTAAACAGAGGGCGGATTAGAAAAATATGTGCTCACAGGAGGGATACATTCGTGGCGTTCTTTTTAATGTAAGACAGTGTCAAACGAGTTGGCGGTTCACCTGATGTTGAGTGACAACCGCCGCCCATGTACATTTGCAACATCCGTAAAATGCATTGTCACCTTTAAATAAAGTGGGCCCCGACTACCTCACTCACTCAGACGAGACGCAGAAGCGTGACTACTTTACGTCGGTCTTCTGTGAGGTAGGTAGGTCGGTCGTACTTGCCCGGACGGACCTGCCCATTCGTGCAACAGTGAACATTGTTACGTGGTAGGGCCACAGTTAAAGTGTGTTTTAACTTCATTTTAATTCGCCTTTCTAACGTGTGAAGGTTTCAAACGAGCTGGCGGTTCATAGGATTTTAAATGATAACCGGGGGGGGTTATTTTCAACACCGGTAGGATCGCAGATGCGTTGCACCTTTTAATAATTTTTTAATTTATATGTTAATTCCATTTTTATTCGTCTTTCGTACGTGTGAAGGTTTGTATTATGTTAAGTGATAACCGCCCTCCATGGACATTTTCAAAACCGGTAGGGTCGCAGATGCGTTGCACCCTCTAATTTTTATGAACCTTTCTATTTTTTACTGATTTACAATTCAAGCTGTGCGGAGAAATTGTCTCAACGGCCGGTGTCTGGTGTCTTGTAAAACTGGTCTTAGAAACTAATACGACCACCAGCCCCCACAAACATCATACTTACTCGTATTATATTTTATATTTGTTATAATAACAAATATTATATTTGTATTAAATGTTATTTTTAAACCAATTTCTTAATCGTTAGTATACATATAAGGATGTTTTGTGCACTGCACATATTATATTAGTTTAATAAAATAGTGTATAGATATTTTCACTCAAAAATCAAAAAAAAATAGTTTTATGTAAGTATTTTTCAGTCACGTCTCCCTACACCAATAACTGCGCCTTCGGTCACGTTGTGTGTTCAAATAACAAAGGGCGGACCAGAACCCGATCAACCTTTAAAGTAAGTTAAATACATTTGCACATATATATAAAGCGTACATGAGTAAAACATTGCGCCTCTCCTTTAAATAGGCGTTCCTTTTAAAATGGCTTCCATAAAAGGGGATGAACAATGGATTGGGAAAGTTTTTATTTCGCTTTCGGCGCCCACAGCGTCCGCGTCACCTGCGTGCGCGTACGATGTAATGGATTAAAAGTTGAAATTGAATTCTAAATTAGATACGAGCCTATACATCCTATGTAAACATATATTATAAACTAGCGACCCGCCCCGGCTTCGCGCGGGTACAATGTATTATACATATGAACCTCCCTCTTGAATCACTCTATCTAGTTAAAAAAACCGTATCAAGATCCGTTGCGTAGTTTTAAAGATCGCAGCATACATAGTGACAGACAGACACCGGGACCACTTTGTTTTATACTATCTAGTTATTATATGTGAAGAAGTTTGTTTGTTACGCTTTCACGCCAAAACTACGTGTTACGATTATCATGAAACTTTGTATTAAAAAGGACATGGGATTTTTTTATTAATAAAATATTTTTAAAAAAGATTTATTTTTAAGGGCTTTAACGGGAGCGCAGCCTCGGGCGAAAAGCTAGTTTATAGTACAATAATAAACTTAGTGGGTTGGTTAAAATGGCAGTGATATTACTACGTTTCTGGCTCATTTTTGGATTACAAACGTCGCGAATTTGAGACAGTTATTTTTTGAATTTGATGTAATTATACAGATCAGCCTTTAATGGTGGTAGGGGCATGCAGCAGCCACGAGCAGGCTGTTGCACAAATCGCCAGGCTCATGCGGGTAAGTACCTCGACCTTACAGAAGACCGACGTCAAGTGGAAGTATAATACTTTCGCGTTTCGTCTGATGAGCGACGTAGCTGGAGCCCAATTTTAAAAAGGTTGTCAACGCATCTGTAACCCTCGGGTGTAGCACATATCCATGGGTAGCGGTACTCACTTAACATCAGGTGAACCTGATGTTAAGTGAGTACCGCTAACTTGGCAACTTTTCACATAAAGAAAAAGCCAAGGTCCATACGTTGCTCACCATTGGGATTTCAGCCGGATATCTCTGATTTGAATTCATCTAACTAATTGCGGTAACAGCTTCCGCTGTTGCACGAATGGGCAGGCTCGTCCGCGGAAATACCACGGCCTCACAGAAGGCGTGAAGTGAAAGTATTTAAGTAAACTTTCGCGATTCGTCTGGTGAGTGAGGTAACCGGGGCCCACATTTTAAAAGGACGTCAATGCATCAGCAAGGTATCGGGAGTTGCAAGTGTCCATGGGCGGAATATTTCTTTATTCTTTTGTTTAGTATTTGTTGTTATAGCGGCCACTGAAATACATAATCTGTGAAAATTTCAACTGTGTAACTACCACGGTTCATGAGATACAGCCTGATGACAGACGGACAGACAGACAGCGGAGTCTTAGTAATAGAGTCCCGGTTTACCCTTTGCCATCGCCATCACTCCATCTTATATGTATGTACGTGAACCAGAATTTAATTCTTAATTTTCTTGCCGCCGA